GGACCACAGGTTTTTCTTTTGGGATTGATGAACAAACAGTTGGGAAAAAGTCATGAAACTTTGTTTTTGTATAAGCTAATTGCAGCGAGATTATTGTATACGCAAAGATGGAAAGATCCAGCATTACCCACAATGGAGGATTAGTTGGTGAAGATGATGGAACTTGCTGAGATGGCTAAATTGACTTCTTTGATCAGAAAAAAGATAGTATCTGTTTATTGCTGACTGGAAACCTCTTATGGACTTTTTGTGTAAAACAAACAACAAAATGAACTTGTGATTTGTGGTTTTGATGATTAGACAGGATAGATTATAGAAAGAAGAGAGTTATGTTGTAACCATAGAGTAAGAGGCAAATTTATAATTGTACTTATAACTGCTCTAAAGAAGATCGGAAGCTACTTCTTTGTACCTTTTTTCTTTTCTATTTTTCTTTTACTTTTTCCCCCTTTGTTGCACTTTTAGCTTTCTCTTTGATTTCTTTTCTTTTTCTTACTTTATATTAGTTTGTATTAGTTTTTATCTTCCTTTTTAAATTTTTTAAATAAAATTATATATTTTACACATATAGGTCCACACACAATATAATTGCATGAAAGAATATAGACAGAAAAACTACACAGATTATTAGCTCAGATTCGCACATATCTCTAGTCTTGTACTTTTAAATGGAAGAAGAACACAAGCAAGTTCAAGAAGAGAGTCAGAGTCATTAAGGTGTGCGCTGCTAACTCCCCTCCCCCCTAAACATTCCTGTCTCTTGAAATACAATTGCATGATACATAGTGCCCAGCAAATTTGTTCAAAACCAAGTTTTACACTTCTCTTTGTGGAGCATTCTCTTCTAATTCTCTAAATCTTGGACTTTCCCCATAAAATATGCAATAAAAAGGCCCAGTCAAGGTCATAAATTAATATTTTAAGATGGGTATCTGAAGTGGTTACCCATCCATCAGCACATTACAGCTAAAGCTAGAGCTAAAGAAGGCATCTAAGTAGAATCCATGCCCTTCCAGAAGATACAAGTTTTCTCTTCCATTATGTGTTTATATATACATTAGTTTTAGGCTTTGTGCTTTAAACTAAACCTGAATTAATTGACATATAGGCATCTTCTACAGTCTTGAGCACATATGAAGCAAATGAACTTTAACCAATAGACATATAAACATATAGAATAAGAAGTGGGGAGGGGACTGGTTGCGGGGTTAAGGAGAAGGAAAAGCGAAACACAGAAAAGTCACTATAGGTAGTCCTCATTTAGCAACTGTTTGCATTATGACAATGATGAAAAAGTAACTTTACGACCAATCCTCACATTTATGACCTTCGCAGGTCTATAAAACAAAGGAAAGCTGAAGTAAGGGCATAAGTACAGTCCTAGTTTCACTTGGCGACCGCTTTGCTTAACAACCAAATTGCCAGTCCCAATTGTGGTTGCTACACAAGGACTACCTGTACTTGAATCACTTTTGCAAGCTGTAGGCTAAAATATGCAAGCTGGTACCCCCCAAATATTTTGGGCTATAATTCCCATAATCCCATGTCATTGGAGATGGTTGCCAAACAAGGTGAAAGAAGGTGATGTTAAACCATCTGATTAATACCATCCTCCCCATCTTGCCTTAGTCAAAGAATTCATCAACTTGGCCCAAATAAGCTTTAAAGATATCCATCTTTGGAATTCTTCTGGGTTCTCCTGAGCAAAAATTCACTTGGCCAGAAACATTAGTGGTCAGGTAAAGACTTCCTTACCTGCTTTGCAGGTTTTTCCATCTTCTTGAAGTTGGACTCCAGTGGGACAGTTGCAACTGTAAAAGGGTTCCTTTGGGGACAACAGGCACAAATGCGAACAACCACCATTATTATCCTCACAGGGTGTATGAACTTGAAAAATAAAAGAAAGGAAATCATACACATTTTTTTCTCTTCTGGTAACACAGAAAGGAAACCTAGTTCCCTGAAGGGGACAATCATGTTTTATGTTTCCACATAAATTCAGTCAGGCACTAAAAATAATTGACCACAAGACAAGCATTTAATATTGCTTGATAAGACTTTAGGGAGGCACCAATAGACATAAAACTGTCCTGAAGAAGTACCTTGTCACACTACAGTACTTCAAACTGCTCCAATTTAACTGACAGTTTCAAGGAGCAATTGGGGGTTCAATAGGGTTACATATAAAGTATAAAAAATGTTAAGAGACAACTGGATGTTGCATGTCCATTTCTATTTGGATGATCATTGCAGTTACAGTGCAGGTTGAACCTGAACAATTGTTACTTGTTTCATCAGGAATTTGTAGTTCTCTATATATCTCACCCTGCAACTATAGTAATAACTTATTAGTATTTTCTCCATTCAGCTGTGTTCTAGTCAATTGTGCTGGCTACATGCAGCCTAGATATATTTATTTATTATTTAAATTTATTATAACTGCTCAACTCCAATGGACTCTGGGTGGCATACAAGATCAACACCCCCCCCCAAACAGATAAAACCTAAAACCAGCCCAGACTAAAACAATTTAAAAATGACATAGATCAAAATCAAACCAAAGAGCCCCCTGTCCCAAACAATACATTAACCTCAGGCCTGGGTCCAAAGCCAGGTTTTAAGAGCTTTCCAGAACCCTAGGAGAGGGGGCACTGTCCTTATGTCTGGGGGAATGCTGTTCCAGAGGGTGGGGGCTGTGACTGAGAAGGCATGCTTCCTCATTCTGGCAAGATGCCAACATTTAATAGAGGGGACCTGGAGCATACCCACTCTGCCGAAACATATAGAATGTTTAGACCACTTCAAAATGCAAAGTACAAATCTTGAAAAACACTCACATGTAAGTCTAAGCTGCACAAGTGAACCTAAGCATTCTCACCACATCTCGTTAAGACCCCCAAAGTCCCACCCTTTTTAAAATAAGGTGGGGTGAGGAGATTTACAAAAGCTTTCTAAGAGAGTACTGCATCTCTGCCATGGGGCATCAGAAAAAAAAATGGGGACAGGGAAACAAAGGAGCAAAGGACACATGCATTGTTACACAAATTGTGTGATACTTGCATTAAATGTTGTAGTGCAAGTATAAAGTTGTGTTTGGTATCATGCTAAATCATAATGAAGTTTGTTTAAATACACACATCACAGTCAGTCAAAAGGAATCACTATGGTTTATAAGATATAGTTTATAACTGGTGTTATGTCTGAACCCGGCCATTATGGCTTATTCAGGAAACCATTGTGCCCAAGCTTGTTCAATAAATCACAGTTCAATCCTACAGATCAGCAGAACTTGTCTCTCTCACAGTCAAACCTGAATAATTTAAGATGTGGGTTTTTGTTTGCTTTGTTTTTGTTTTTACCACTCCAATAAGTAACCTGTTTTGATTGTCGGATCAAAAGAAAGGCATATGACAATAGGGGGCGGTGGTAATCATTCAAAAGCACCAGTGTTACCCTGTAGCTCTGTACATGAGCCACAATCAGATAATATGGCACAAACACTTGGACTATGGCATCCAAATCCAGTCAAGTTAAGAGACAGCATTATCTGAACTATTTCTAGCAGATAGTATTTCCCAATGCACCAGGTTTTCCTCACTACTGTCCAGAAATATTGTGACCCAAGGGTGGGACATGCTCTCAGCTGAAAGAAATGTTAGGAATTCAGAGAGCACCATACAGCCTCATCTGGAACGCAAGGACAAACTCTAGCAGTGCACATACCCAATGACTTCTACTGAAGCATTGCACCTGTTTCTCAGCTAAAGCAGATCTTAAATTCCTCTGTTTACTCCATGAATGTTTACCATCCACCTATCCTTTTTCACAGTACAGCCACAGCATGGCAGAGCAAGGCCCAGGTTTTCAGTAGGAGACTTAGGGCAAAATGCATAGGACACAATTTCTTTGGAAATCCAGTGGTTACAGAATTAAATCAGGGCATACTAACTGTTTCAGTTTTTTCCACAGAACTTTCACTGTTGGTTAAAAGCTTCATCCATGAGAAATAATAAGAGGTATTTTTCCCTCTGCCACTCCTCCCCCCACAAGTCACTCACTAGCAAGTTATTGTTTCTTACTGCAAAGGATCATAATAGACATTTTTGTAACAGCAGAACTCATAATATTAGCAAGATACTAATGAAAAATAATTCCTCAAAACCACTCATTTAAAGTATTTAACATGTGTACATGTGCCTGAGAGATTTTGAATTTTATCATTTCTAAATAAAAGCCTGTTTCAATAAGTAGACAAAAAAGACATCTCTTCTCACCAAGGAATTTGCATAACTATGGGTTTTTAACCAAATTTGCATTGCAGTATGAATGATATGTACAACCAGTTAATGATGATCTCATTTAAATCTTGGAAACTGTTCAACTATTCAGTCTGATACATTGTTCAGAGATCCATGGCATCCAAGTGGGAATTAACTATTGTATTTATTGAGAGTTATTATGCTGTAGCTGTTTGAGCTTCTTTAACATTGCAGCAGCAGCCATGTCACTGACAATCAGAGAAATTCTGTTTGCAAAGTTCTACTGAAACATTGGCCGGACCAGCAAGGCAAGGCAAATCAGAGCTCAGAAAAGTTACTACAAGGTGAAAAATCCACAGGATGAGACCCTGAGTGCCACTGAGATTGTCCTTCCTTCCAAACAGTTTGAGATTCTGTGCTGCAATCAGCATATTATATAAATATTGGTGGCAGCAAACACTTTCTTATAAACAGCAATCAACTCCAGAACCTGAAGCCATGGCACTTAAAACTAAACTTCATATCACAGCAAAACAACAGCCTAATGTACCAGATGCTTGTTAACAATTATAGTAATACAACTGCATAAGTTGCATAAATAATCAGTTTGTGTTTTCTTCTCTGAAGTTCATGGGTGCTAGATTTAAAATCCCACCTATCCCAAATTATGAGAGAAAAGAGAAGCAAATAAGCAAACATACAATATGGCTGTCTTTCAGGGCTCAAAACCTGGATGTCCATTGGTGAGTAAAGTGAATTTATTATTTCTCTCTTATTCTCTCCAGCTTTCTTGTTGCAGGCATGAATGGAACGCGTCTGCCAATCCGTCCAATACAGGGTGTCCCCAGCCAACGTCAGGGCAAATGGGTGAGTGAGACTACCTTCCACAACTTTTTGCCTAATTTGTAGAAGAAAAAATATTTTCCAAGGTGATTATAAAAACTATTTCACAAGTTAATATGCAAAGACAAGATGTCAAGCTTAAGTCAGAATTTAAATAAAAGAAGAGTGACTTACATAAACAGCAGCAGTTCAATTTATGTGGCGTGAGCCCCATTCATAGCTCCCCAAAACCCTTTCTACTAATCATTTCAAAAACATGCTGGGGCTGCAAAATCTGGAACCACACGTCTTTACCCCATGTAATTCCCATAAAATATCTTGCTCTTAAAGATTATTTAAATTACTAACTTGTTCTGACTACATGTGTTTTCAAAGTGGAGGTTCATCACAGGAGTCTGTTACAGCAATTTTAATCTACCTTGCATAACACAAAACACTTTATACTGCAATCAAGTCAGTTCACAGTGGCAATATTTGTAGTGTAAATAATTTCTTAGAAGTTTAATTTATTTAGCACCATTAAAACTAAAGGTCATTCAGGCATGAAAATATAATATTCATATTTTCCATTACCACTCCAAAATAATTTTAAACATCTATAATAAGATACAAAATACCACGAAATTATGTTGTGCACGAAACACAAGCTTGCATTGCACAATGTCAAACCACAAGTCATGACATTTATCGGGGGGGGGGAATGAGACAATTTAGCTGGAATATTTTATCTTAAATGACAACAATGTACATCAGGAAAAGCAGACTAAAATTCTGCAACTAACTTTTTATATAGTACATAGCTAGAACAACTTTCTTTCAGTAGGGTGATAGCAGGAGACACGTATGTCCCAACAGTACTTATTCCTTTGGATATCTTGACCCTGGACTGTAATTTAAGCTTTCAAAGGCAGCATTTATGGGGAGAAAAATGAGTTCATTTTTTATCATTCAGAACATAAAGCAATTTGACCAAACATGCTAATTGGATTTCCGTATTACAAGTACATTTCTTTATGAGAAAAAGAATCCTTTCTTTTCTTTAAAAGAGCAAACACTGCTGGAATAGCAACATTTATGAATTTTTGTTTCTGTTTACAGGGTATATTGTAGAACATGTCTCCCTCTCTTTGGATTAAAGCTACACAAAAATAAAGCAAAATTTCAGTAGTAGCACAAGAATAGGAATTTTACACAGACTATATGCTGCACAATGCAGATTTATCTTATTATTTTTATATGGGATACTTATACTAACACCTGATCACAGAAAAAATCTTTTCTGATATAACAGTGGAATAAAGGATCCCAACAAAACAAATCATGCGAGTTTAAGAGGATCTAATGGAATTCTGTAAATTGATTTTTTTCCAAACACCATGGAAAAGAAAAGAACAACTGGACAGTGCTTTCTCTCTCTCTGCTTGTATATACAGTACACGGATATGCAGAGTATGCATTTGTGTGCCTCCATTTTCTCTAGGTACGGGAGGTCACAGAATCAACAGCTGATATACATACTTGATTCACAGCGCTTGTGAACAGCACAGATTGGACAATGCTACCATGTACAGGTAGTCCTCACCCTACTACCATTCGTTCAGCAACTGTTTGAAGTTATGATGGTGCTGAAAAAATGGACTTACGACCAATCCCTGAAGTTATGGCCACTGCAGCACCCCCATGGTCACATGATCAAAATTCAGGCACTTGGCAGCCCGTCTGCACTTACAACTGTGAGCGCGCTTCAACTCCCCCCACCCATCTCTCCCCCCCAACTCTCCCCTTTCGGCTGCCTTGCACCCTGCCTTACAGGGTGGCAAGCAGCCCCAGAACTGCATGGCTCTGGGGCTGCCTGCCATGCTGTGGCTCAGGGGCTTCTTGGCACACCATAGCTCTGGAGCTGAAAGAAGCCCCTGAGCCACAGCGCAGTGCCTTTCTTATTTGCATCGCCTGGCTGGGCTGGGCTGGGCTGGGGAGGCACATGTAGGAAGCGTTTACCCAGGATAGCATGGCAGCTGCAGGTCCAAAAAGGAGACAACAAAGGCAGTGAGGCGCTTCTACATTGGCTGTGGCAGCTGGGTGCAAAAGGTGAAAGGTCGGTGTGGGGAACTGGGAGAGAAGGCAGCTGGGCGAACAAATGCTTGCTGGCATTTGCTGGAGTGGCTGAGGCTTTCAGGGGCAGCTGTGGTTTCATGTTGTGTTGTGGCTCAGGGGCTTCTTGCAGTCCCAGAGCCATGGTGTGTCAAGAAGCCCCTGAGCCACAGCATAGCAAGAAGCCCCAGAACGAAGAGGGTCTGGGGCTGCTTGCCACCCCGCAAGGCAGAATGCAGGGTGGTCAAAAGGACAGAGATGGGGGGTAAGATAGGTGGAGGGGGGAGTTGGAGCAGTCCCTTACCTTACTGAGGCTCAAGGCTGGGAGGGACTAAGCCCAGAATGGCTTGGACTGGGGTGGGTTCTCAGCTAACAACCGGCGGAATTCGCTTAATGACAGCAATGGGGATTGCCATCACTAAGTGATGTGATCATGTGACATCTTGCTTTATAACTGCATTGCTTAGCCACAGAAATTTGTAAATGGTCCTAAGTCAAGGACTATGTGTACATGGAGAATGAGTTATCACCATGGGGTGAGAAGGGAGGTATAAGGGGGAGGGGGAACTAGTAGCAAGCCTCAGTAAGGGAGAGATGGAAACAAGCAATTATGTAAATGAAGGAAAAAGGAACAAATAATGACCTTCCAGACACTTATCAATGTTTCTAAAACACATTCTCAGACAACAAAATATTCAAGGGCAATTGGTGATGCAAGGTTGATAACCTTTTGTTGTCACAGCTGCCAGAAAGTACATTAGCACCACGTACGTTTGTACAGAAAACGTCTAAGCAATATTAAATGTATTTCCAGAGGGTTACATGCATACACACACACACACAACCCTACCTGAAAGAGCCGTCCAGATTTGCTCTGTGAATGAAGCTCAACTTTGCATCAGCCCAATAAAGCTTTTGTTCATTGAGATCTATAGTGAGTCCATTGGGCCAATAAATGTCAGAATCCACGATTATTTTCCGAAAACTGCTGTCCATTCCAGCACGCTCTATTCTAGGTGTTTCACCCCAGTCTGTCCAATACATGTACCTGGAAATTAAAAATCCAACTGTTATGATAACAGAACAGAAACTTTCCTGAAATTTGTGCATCTGAAATTTATCTGGACCCCCCACCCATCAAACGTTTATTTAAAATCTGACCATAACTTTTTACCTTTAAAAATGTTCCTATCTTAGTTAGCTATCTCTAAAAATATGAACTTGTTGTTTCCTATGCAGTTCAGTTAGTACAAGTCTCTTTCATTACCTGCTGAACAAGGACTCTTTATTTTGACTGGTAGAGCCCTTGGGCTCTATTATAATCTGTCAGCAAAGATTTCATAGCTATACATATCCTGTACATCTTTCTAGCTACAATAATTGTTTTCAGCAAATTGAAATAAGCAGCACCATTTAAAAAAAAAAAGGAATGATTCTACTATGGCATCTGACTAGAAGTAATGTATCAACTTTTGAATTGTTGAATCACTCAGGTTTTTGCGATAGCAAAGAAATAAATAAAATGAAAAACAACAATTATAAAAATAGCATATGACAAAATAAATAGTTAGGGGAAAACCTTGTGGCCCATACAGTCAGAAGAGAAATTAAGTAGCGCAAAGATCCAAAAGGACTAAAATCAATTATCAAAACTCCTGGGACACAGGGAGCAACTGTGCCTTAAAGCCAATGTCATTCTTCAAATGGGATGCCAACACCACCCTGTCTTCTGTAGTCACGTACCTCATTTCACTGGCAGTGATAAATTGAGGAGTGCTTCAGAAGTTGGCCTTGGTATTTATTTGGACAGGTAGAAATGGGAGGACAAGATAAACTATCTAAGGCATTTGGGGTTTTAAAGGTTAAGCAGAGTACTCTCTGAAGGTTAGAAACTGACTGACAACCAAAATAGAACAGCAAAGTACTGTTATTGTATACCTAGTTGACTATTAATGTCTGGCTATTAATCAGAAAATCAAGGAAACTGAACAACAGTAGAACATTAATTAAATAGCTTCTCGATGTCAAACAATAAAGAAATAATGGATAACTATAATGACCTATTATGATATATGTCCATTAGTGCTATGTATTATTTATTAGAGCTGTGTAAATAATTCACAAGGGCACTTCAACTGCAGCAGTGCCATAAATGTTTTTGCCAAAATTTGGTCATCTGAAAGGACTTCTCAGATTATCTGTGTATGCACAGAAGACACTTCCACTAGAACTGCTAGGGGAATCAATAATTTGCATAGGTCTATAATGTATTTTTATTCAGTTCTTAGGTTTATGTCCCATTTTTTCTTCAGGAAACTATCTATATGCAATTTTTTTTGTTTTGCTTGTTTGTGAATAGAAACCAGTACATTAACAAAACTTCAAGAGAATATAAAAAATAAAATACAAAATACAAACATTGAAAACGCACAGAATGAGACACAGAAAGGACAGGTACAAAGATTTTAAACATCCATGGCTAATATTTTGGTCAGAAATACACACACACACGTAATCTACTAGGAACTGCTTTGTTGATATAAGTAAAAATGGAAACCAAACTTGAATAAAACAGTATTTAATAGAGATTTTTCAAGACTGTTTTGTTGTGTGCTAATTTTTCATCCAGTACTATTTCCCAGACTTTTGAATATATTTGATCCAAACAAAGATATGTTTTAATTTTCTAATGTTTTGCAACAGTAAATCTGGCAGCTGAAAGAAAAAAATTAATTAATTTCTTGTGTTGCAAAGTCTTGAGAAATATAGACAATAAACCTATAATACAGTTCATTTCCAAAGATTGTTGAGTAACTTTTCCAATGTCTTCAAAAATATCTGGCCAGGATGAGAACTAAACTGACATTGGCAAGTCCTCTATCAGCAATGTGATTACAATACCTCAAATACTGTACAGGAAGATTTTGATTCATATAATGCAATTTTAATGGTGGGTATTACCATCTATAAATTCTGTTATAATCAATTCTCCAAAAGGGATTTAAACAGAATTTTATGTTGTAAAGAGTTCCAATCTAACTCATTGACTTCAGATCCCATTTCCTCTTCCCATATTATTTTATTACTTCTTCTGGGGCTTTTTTTGAACTTCCCTCCTATGCCAATGCTACCAAGTACAGAAGTGTATATATTATTAGAGTTCTCTGAATTTAAACAATGCAGTTATATACACCATTCTTCAAACACTGCTAAAGGTTTTGACTGCTGAAACTTAATAAAATTAAGAAGAAATTATAGAACCTGTTTCAGCTGGATCTTATAACCAATTCTTCAGCAAAATATATTCAGCAGAGATGGATACCCTGTAAGTCTCTAACTCTATAATGTCCTTACTTTTCTATTATCCTATTTCTTATATTCATCTTATTTATCTACATAGTTTTAAAAGTTTGGATGATCAAATGATAGGAAAAGAATCAAAGGAGATTTTTTAAAAAAACATCTAGAGTAGTTTTAATATATGGATTTGGAACAGTATATATACATTTCTCAATATCAGGGAAGAATGCTATTGCTCTAATGGGTTCAGATTTGAACACTCTCTACCAATTTAGCATAATTTGAGATTATTATGCTATGAACAGTGTTACTTAAAAAGTATCATAGTAATGTTTTAAATGTGGTATGCCTAAGCTTCTAACATGATTTTGCTTGTACAATATGATTTACCTAATCCTACTTTTTTTTAAACATATGAAGGAAGAGAGGGGTGTTTTTTGCCATGAACTAAAACAATTAAGAAACAAAGAAATTTGGAGTTTGAAACAAAAATAAGATTTTAGAAAACAGGGAGCAACTATTTTATCAGAGATAAAGCCCTATTAATTGTCAATCTTTCAAAGAGGGCCTTAAACACATTTCTTACATTGGTGTCAATTACAGTAATTTCTCCTAAATATCTAAAACCATCTGGATTAATATGCAATAACTTCTTGAAATAATACATGTAATTCTTTCTTGAAGTTAATTATCGTAAGAAACAATTTACCAAAATTGACTAATATGCACCTATAACAGCTACCCCCTTTCACTTTCCCCATAACATGATCCATATTAAGCAGCTCATCAATCCATATATGTTTCTATCACACCTATGGGAATTGTAGTCAAGCATGTTAGGAGGGCCCAGATTGTCTACTTCTGTAGCTGATGTACGTTAGGTGAAGCACACAAATGAAGAGCAGGATTGGTATATCGTATTGCCATAATTCAATAGCTTTAGCTGATAATATATTAAACCATTATGTGGTTTTAAAACTGGAATGTGTGGCTAATTCATTAATTGTGGTTTATTAAATAAACCATTTACAGTACAATATAAGAATCCAGACAAAGAGGCAACTTGTATTTCTGAGTGGAATATATGGCCATACAAGCTACAAATTTCCCCAACCCCAATGTCTCTAAGCATAGGTTCAACCATTCTCTATCATACCCCCCACTTCAGTACTGTAATTCTAAAGCTGAACATGAGTAACAATTTCCTTGTTCCTAACATTACTGTATCTCAAAAATCCTAACAATATCAGGAGTATATAATTTTCAAATAAGATAAAACTTCCCAGAGCTTTTGTTATTTGGTTACACGTAAGGAAGATGACCCTACATCCAAGGAAGTCTTCCCCTAAAAAGGATGCAGGCGGAACAAAATGTATGCAAACTGCAAAAGTACTGTACAATACTCATCTTCCCCATCTCAACTCCAGTTGAGACCATTCTTGGAGATTCCCTCCCTGATCCAAAAAAAAGTGTACATGTTCTATAGCACACTTGGATATATGTATTACATATACAAACTACATTCCAAGAAGGGGCATGGCAAGGACAAAAAATAAATGCATGCTAATTGAAATAATACCTGTTAATTAAAATTACCTATAAAATAAGGTACCCCATTTATGAAATTAATTGATCCTTATCTGCATACTGTATATGAAACATGCTGTCTCTCACATGCACACAAATTAGTTTCACACTTAAATATTATAAGTAAATGTAGGCATGGTCAACTCGTAGGAGGAAGAAGAAGAGGATAGAGACGGGGTAAGGGGCAGCTGTACAGGGAAAAGAAGGAAAGAAAGAGAAGGAAATAAACAGAGAAGGAGGGAGGAGGGAGGGAGGGAAGGCAGATCTGTTTAGGCATTACAAGAGGATTAAGATCACCTTCCCACATAACAGCTAATCTTCAAACTAATCTACAAAAGCCTCCACACTCTGCAGCTATGTCTGCAACCATCTGCACCTCCTGTTCATTCCTTTGTTTTCATCAGATTCTTCTATTCTTATCAACAACTGTAGTTTCCACTCCCCTACTTCTATTATTTGGAAAAGAATAGAGTACTGAAAAAAAAAATGGAAAAAGCAAGGCCTACTTCAGCACTCTGTTTTCCTTCCCTTTCAGGCAAGAATTCACCAAAACATGTTAAAACAATCAGTTCCTTGCTGCCTAGATTCTAAAAAGAATACTCAACAATTGCTTGAATATTTATACTAATTGCCAGCGTAATGAGATTGTGGCCAAACCAGCCTAAGACACTATCCAGAAGATTAAAAAAAAAAAAAGAATGGGATGTTAGATAAACATATTGGAACTGTTCGTAGTTAAGATCAAACTTTGCCAAAGGAGAAAAGTAAACCAAAATACAAAATACCTATACAATCTTTGCACCTACTATAATTAATGTTTTCCAGGAAAACTGAATGATTCAAAGTGAAAACCGTAATGTTTTATTATGGAAATACGATCACAAGGAACACACTGAGATATGATGCTAGCAAATGCTGAAGGAACTATACCAAAATTTGCTAAAGGAACCTGCATATTAAAAATAAGTCAGAAAGCCTTTGGAGCAATCTCAGAAAAGTAAGCTATTTAAAAAGACTGATACGTTCTCAAATTCAGTCAAACTGTGTAGAAAAAAAAATAACTAAGGGGCCTTTTACAACCAATGTTTTGGTTAACGAATTGTGTAAAAAAAAGAAATGGGTGGGGGTGGGGGTATGGGATGAATGATGCAAAGACCGGCA